AATTTTTCCTTCTCTGTTCTTAACCACCCTGTTTTGATTGGTGGTTCCTTACCACTCTTTCTGAAGAAAATATTCTTTCCAAAGAATTTTCCAAGGGTCAATTTATAGTAATAAAATGTGTAAAACAAATTTATAAAATTTAAAGTAAACTGCTATAGATAACTTCACAGAAAATGACAACAAATAAAAAGTAACAACGTAATAAAGTTGCATTTAAAATTTATTGATAACTATATGAACGTCTTGAATGTATGGCTTGTATAATATACTACCCAGTTTTTCATACTGCAATTTTTAATGCAAAAGAAGCAGGAAAATGTTTTAATCTTCAATTAAAATCAACTATTTAAATTTCGTAATAGTCGGTAGTTTGTAAAGTAAACATGACATCAGAAGTTGTGACACCGCTGTCTCTCTCCTTCTCTATTTATGTAGTGTCGTGTCTGCCTCGACAGGTCCCACTCAAGGTGACCAACACACAAGAAAAGAAGTCCCGAAGTGGCCCCCTTCTTCTAACTGTCGTTCCTGGCCTGCGGCAATTCAGGGAGTGGTGGTAATGCGTCGAAGAACTTTAATTTTTATTTGGTATTTCTGCAATTTCCTTGTTTGTAGTTTCTAATTATTTTTTTCTAAACTTTTTGCATAAAAATCAAAATACCAAAATAAGTAAAATATAAACGATAATACATTATTAGCATTAGTCTTGACCCCAAATGAACCACTTTTCCTATGCTACTTCCATCAGTCCATCTTTAACGTTTTTGTGAGTCTATTAAGGGATATTTTGCAACAAACTAACAAACAGAAGATTTTGCGGAAAACTTGGGAGTTGTAAATTATAGTAAAAAGCCCACAGTTATACCTACTTGTTTTTAGAATGAGACCATCTCGTTTGTGAGGTTGACGATCTTATTGGCTTTTATAGCAGTGGAGATCACTCTCCTTATCCTTCGATTTTCATACGAATAATCTTATAATATTCGCCTCTTTTAATACAACCAAGGTACTGAAAATATTTTGCCTGATTGTTAAAAGTTCTGAATATTTTCAGAACTTTTTTTGGGTTGGGGTTGGGAATTTATACGTTGGTTTTGTGCTTTTTCTGGAAGGCACACAGTATTCGAATATAGAGTATATTAATTCGGTTTACTATTACGGCAAACTGTTATCGAGCTTCGGCTGCTATTTGTCAGAAGTAAAGTCAAAGAAATTGCAGATCTTTTTTGTTCCAAATTATTAATAAAGCAAAGAACCTCAAGGTATGACGTCTTTCAATCTTTTATTATACACTATCCTCTATAAATAGGTTTACAGAAATTTTTTCTGGAAAATCTGAGATTCTACAACGGATGGTACGTAGCTAGAAACATCAAATTTGTTTTTAATTTGATGCTAGAATAAAGTAGATGGCTCTTTATTACTCTTGTTCATTCTGTAATGGAAAACATAAGTTGACGACCAGCCTTTTAATGTACGAGTTTGTGTTTAGCATCAGGAATGGTTCTAGTGCTATTCTTATACAAAAAAGGCAGTTCAACACGTTTTTTAGAAACATCTAACGCTTCCATCTATATATTTTGTTCTCTCGAGAATTTTGTTATTACACTAGAATGTACGAATATAGATATTGCTTATGACTAAAATCCGGATTATCAGTATTTTGGTTTTTTGCATATTGTCAATTTTAATTAAGTCCTTTTCGGTCGAAGTACAATTTTAAGTAGATCTAGACGTTAAAGGAGATTAAGAATTGTATTCCATCAACGTGCAAAACCCATTTTTAATGTGTATCTATTCATACAATAGACTGAACTACGTGTTTAAGAGATTAGTTGATAGAATACTTTAAATATCCAATAAGAATAAAGTATTTGCCAGCAAATTTACTATTTTTGATTTGGGCCTCCTAGTACCAACTGTCTGGTGATTGAAATTAATTTTAAATTTCTTTTTTGGTGTTTCATTTAAAGCCTTAATTTAAATTATGTCTAACACCATTGGAGAGGTACTGAGTTCTCGAGATAAAGCCTATTCAGAGTGTACTTTCAGTAAATGAATGTATCTAATATTTGCACAATATTTGACAAATAAAAACAGAAGTGGATGACTTCAGAAATTCTAACATTAATGGAAGAGAGGAGAAAAGCCAAAGGGAGAAATGAGCCAAAATATCAAAAACTACAAAGTAGAATTAAAGTAGAGATAGAAAAGGCCAAGGAGAAGTGGTTAAAAATCATTGTATAGAAATAGAAGAGTATGACAGAAAATACGACAGCTATAATATGCATAAAAAATAAAAGAACTAACAAATACCAAAAAGCGAGCACACTATGGGATACTGAAAGATGATAATGGTAAACTCATTGCAGACATCAAAGACAAACCAAGATTTTGGCAAGAATACATAATAAAACTATTCGACGATGATAGAATGATACAAGAAGAACCACAGGAACAAACAGGACCGAAAATAATAATGTGCGAATTAGAACAGGCAATTAGAAATGCAAAGACAGCAAAATCAGTATGCCCAGATCAGATACCCACGGAGCTAATTAAATGCATTGACGAAGAAACACTGCATATACTTTAAGATATGTTGAACAAAGTATATACGACATAAGTAATATCCGAAGATTGGTTGCTGTCCACGTTTGTAACACTACCAAAGTCAGTACATGCGACAGAATGCTCCCAGCACAAAACAATTTCCTTAATAAGCCTCACACTTAACGATATTTCTCAAAATAATACATAAGACTATACAAGAAAATAGAAGATATAGATGACACCCAGTTTGGATTCAGAGGAGGACTAGGAACGAGAGAGAGGCTCTGTTCGCTTTTAACGTTCTCGCACAAAGACGACTAGATATGAACCAGGATCTCTATGTCTGTTTTATAGATTATCAAAAGGCTTTTGATAGGGACAACATCAAAAACTCGTAAAACTGTTAAAAGAAAAGAATGTGAATAGTCGAGATATACAGGTTATTGTCAATCTCTACTTGAATCAAAAAGCAAAGGTTAGAATCGAAAATATCGATACAGAGACTATAGAAATCAAAAGAGGTGTTAGACAGGGTTTTATGCTGTCCCCATTGCTATTCAGTTTGTACAGCGAAGTTATTTTTAAGGAAGCAATATCAGAAAAACAACAGTTTATATCAATACACGGAAAAATCTTGAACAACACATCCAATAAAAGTTCGATAATATTAAGAAGTTGAAACAATTTGAGATGTGGTCCTATGGAAGGATTTTGAAAATACCATGGACCCAACGTGTTACAAATGCAGAAGTGTTAAGAAGGCTACAACAGGATTGCGAGGTCATAAAGCACATCAAAACAAAAAAGTTGGAATATTTAGGCCACATTAGGCCTAAGAGTAGAAGATCCATAGGAAGACGAAGAATTTTCTGGCTCAAAACCCTAAGCGAGTTGCAGCTCAGTAGATCTTTTCAAAGCAGCCGCCAATAAGGTACAAATGGCTGTGATGATAGCCAACCTCCGATAGGAGAAGGTACTGCAAGAAGAAGAAATATTGGTACATGGATTGTATCTTCTCTTGAACTCTGCTTGATGAAGAAAAATTTACTGCAAACCTTGTATACTCCTTTTGGAAATTATTGATAGCATAGTTTTGAGCAACATAATCCAGCCAGAGGCCCTCTGGCCCGAGAGATGGATGCTGCTTGATGGCATAATCATTGGGTAACAAAAGTAGTACGTACAAAATATGCATATATATTTTGTAGGAGCAGTAAAGTAAAAACGTCTCAATTTTAGTTTTTATATTATGTGAAGTGAAGAATAAAATCTTGTATGTACCACTGGTGTTACCGGATGATTATGTCCATCCAGCTCTCATGCCAGAGGCCCTCTGGCTGGATTACGTTGCTCTGCGGGCATATTCATCTTAATAACACCCTTGTTGCATAAATAACTATGAAACAATTGTTTTTTTCATTGATAATGAAGCGTGTATGGCAGGGCGGGCACTTATTTGTACAATGAGAATTTAAGCCAGCAAATATTTGTGCTCTAGATCTTGTTTCCTTCTTAGTCGAAGCACCCGTCCTGCTATAAGCGCTTTATAAACGAGTAAAAAACGTTTTAAAATGAAATAGGGTCAAAATATTTATCGGGAAATGATGAGAACAAGGTTTCAACTTGAATTTAGCTCCGTGGTGAATTCAAAAATAATGTTTTTTACTTGTGTTTACGACCCTTGAAAGTCGTAATTTTGCGTTTGTCTCAGTTCTAAATTATTTTTACCACGATTTGAACAAGTTACAGAAAAACTACAAGAGACTTATTTTAAGAATGATGCAAAAAATTAAGAAAAAAACTGTACGGGCCGAAAAAATTGAGTTTTAAAATTTGTTTAAAAAAATTTGTACAACGTTTCGACTGGAAAACCTCTTGAACCCTATTTTGGGGTATCTCATGAAAGTGATTATGCAAAAAAATCTCATGGGAAGATTTTTCCGAACGAAGCCGAGCTTTTCGCATTGTATATAACGTAACTGCTTATTTTCACCTTACTTCAAGCATATAATTAGATCTTTGCTTTTGACAATGCTAATGGTTTAATTTACATTTAATTTATTGTTCATATTTATTAGGTTTTGTAAATTATTTTTGTTGTTATAGTGAATTAAATTATCATCTGTACATCTAATATTGTTCTGCATTGAAACATTCGTCTTTCTTATCTAAACAATCCTTGTTTTGTAACAACTTTAAAGTTGTAGCGGGTAACGGCCGTACCCGCTCTCCCCTAAGCTTCATCTTGAAGTAGAAGCGGTTGTGGCCATTAATTTTGTAGTTCGTCGTATATAATCATCAATATTAAAGATAGCAGGAACGCACATAGCGTATGTTATTAAATTTATACACACAGGTAGAGAAGATTGGAGAATGACGGAATGATTCGTTAAAATTCTAGAGTGAAGTATCGGAGGCAAAAAGTGTAAATATTAAAGATATATACATACCTCCGTTCGTTGTAAGCGAACCAGGATAGGAATCTCGACAAACTAGAGGGGCTTCTCTTGGAGCACGATCTGGAAGAAAAGGTAAAACATGTTTGTTAAAATACTTTAAAAATTATAAATACAATATATATCCATCATAGTATACAGCATGTCTATGCAAGGAAATAAAAGTTTTTATACATATTTGCAAATAGTGGAACTCTATTAATGTTGTTTAATTAGAATAACTTAATGTTGTGACTACAGGATCATCGTCAGTAGTGCTACAGCGCTTAGAAATCCCCGAACCTCCCCAATTTCCTGAGATATACTATTTAGTTCTTGTGTTTCAATTATCTCATTGAAAGCACTGATCTTCTTAGCATTTTGCATAATATCATCTACGGACCTGAACTTTTATTTACCCAGTTTAGGGGTTGTATCTGTCTCCACATTTCGATTTCAATACCCGCTTTAAAGATTTTCATAATGTCTTTCTTTCAAAATTAGAGATGATTTTGTTAGACCCATATCGCCGATGCTGGTATAAGATTGGCATCCTGTACAATCTTAATCTTGTTAACCTAGGCGAAAATGGCTAAAAATAATAAATGTATTGTTCCCTACAACCTCCTTCTTAAAAGTTGTATAAACTGTGCTGTTATACGTACATTAAATATAATGTAATTTACTACCACAGCTACTGTTACTGATAAGACTAATGTTAGAGAGATACCTTTGCTTCATCAGCAATAGCTTTTTCTGAAAAATACGAGGAAGATGTTTATTTTTACCCTTAAAAAAACGGAGCATATTTTGTTAACTACTTTTATTAATGGACAGAATTTTGAAAGACGAGATGTTGACGCCTGCCCTAAACGTAAATTGACCTTTAATTACTTAGTACTAAAACAATTCCATGTGTTCATCGACCAAGTTATGGTGATCAGGCATTCATTAACATGTAACACATCTAATATAATTATTGTAACCAATGTCCCAGGCAGGGTAATGGAAGTGACCTTCCCAGTATCGTCCGCCCATAGCTGCATTGCTTAATTGGGCATCCATACAGAATCGCCTACAAGGAAACTATAGAATAAGCTCGACTATGGTTGGTTTCACTGATCTATGAATCTATGACCTCTGAATATCATAAGACCCATATATGTGATTATAATGTGTGCCGAGCCACTCCGATTAAACATGATGATCTTGTTACAAGTGCCCACACTGAAGAAGTTTAGTTAAGGTATCCAGTAATCGAAATAGGAGCCTTCTTTAACCTTCGCACTATTACCATACCTACCATTTACAGGTAAACGAGTTTCGAAATGAACTTAAAATACTTTATAAATTATAAATACAATATATCCATCACAGTATACAGCTTTTGTATGCAAAGAAAAGTTTTTATACATATTTGCAAATAGTGGAACTCTTTAAAAATGTTGTTTAATTAGAATAACTTTTAAAATGTTTAGTACGAAGCTACAGGATCATCGTCAGTAGTGCTACAGCGCTTAGAAATCCCCGAACCTCCCCAATTTCCTGAGATATACTATTTAGTTCTTGTGTTTCAATTATCTCATTGAAAGCACTGATCTTAGCATTTTGCATAATATCATCTACGGACCTGAACTTTTATTTACCCAGTTTAGGGGTTGTATCTGTCTCCACATTTCGATTTCAATACCCGCTTTAAAGATTTTCATAATGTCTTTCTTTCAAAATTAGAGATGATTTTGTTAGACCCATATCGCCGATGCTGGTATAAGATTGGCATCCTGTACAATCTTAATCTTGTTAACCTAGGCGAAAATGGCTAATAATAATAAATGTATTGTTCCCTACAACCTCCTTCTTAAAAGTTGTATAAACTGTGCTGTTATACGTACATTAAATATAATGTAATTTACTACCACAGCTGCTGTTACTGATAAGACAAATGTTAGAGAGATACCTTTGCTTCATCAGCAATAGCTTTTTCTGAAAAATACGAGGAAAGATGTTTATTTTTTATCCTTAAAAAAACAGAGCATATTTCGAGCTTAAGAGACATGTAGTCCCTAAAGTAAATTTTAATTTAAAACCAATTCCATTGTCATCGACCAAGACTCGTCAACATTATTAAATGTAAAAATGTGATAAATTTTTAAACCAACACATGGAAGTCTTATAGGCACCATATATTGTTAGCACCAAATACCAAAGGCACTGAAGATAATCTGTATACATTGAAAACGTTCTGCCATAATTTTAAATGTTGACGACACTTTTAAAAAGTTTTTAAGTACTTGTATGTTTTTATACCAAATACACAATTGTGAAGTGTTTTAACTTCTGTGTTTTTTTAAAACGATGGTATACAGCCAATTACGGGGTTTTTCCCATTAATTTTTTAGAGCCTATTTTGTTAACTACTTTTATTAATGGACAGATATTTTTGAAAGACAGAGATTGTTGACCCTGCCTTTTGAACTCAAACTTGTACTTTGAGTTCCTTCAGTACTGGTGTACGGGTAGTACTAAAGACATGCGTGTTCAGTACGACATAGTTATGGTGATCGGTTACTGGCCACTCATTTAAACAGCATCTACATCCAATTAGATTGACAGGTACCCAAGGTCCAGGCGGGGTAATGAGAAGTGAACCTTCTCCAGTATCGTCTGTCTGGCCTGCCAGAGCTGGCATGAACTTAATTGGGCTTCCATACAGAAGAAGAAATCGCCTATAAGGAAACTTATAGAATAAGCTTCGACTATAGTGTGGGTTTCTGCTGATCTATGAATCTATGATCTCTGAATATTATAAGACCCGAGACAGCTGTGATTACAGACGTGCCGAAGGCTCGGCCATCTCCGAGTTAAACAGGATGATCTTGTGCGATACAATGGACCCACACTGAAGAGGTTTAGTTTAAGGTATCAAGGTATTCGGAAATAGAGCCTTCTTCCAGTTTACCATTGCCACTATTACCATTACATACCATTACAGGGGTAAACGAGTTTCGAAACGAACTTAAAAATGGGTATGATCAACTTTTGTGATGGATGACAGGTATTTTAGATATGATGTAGATATATAATAATGATGAAAATATAGATTAAAAATTAAGTAGATAAAAACTAATAAACAGAATAGTGGGAATTTTGAAATAATGGTTATTATCAACAAAATAAATAAGAAGGGATGAGGACACCTAGAGAATTTCCGCAGCTTTGTTTAAGGATATGTAGAAATTGCCAAAAAATTATTAGTTTAATTTTCAATATTTAAAAAATGATCAATTTTTGGACTTTTTGCTCATGAAAACACAAGGAAAACGAGGAAAACAACCTCAGTAGATATACAGCACCGGTTCTGAACAAAGAAGTGGCCAATGTCAAGTCTAACTGCTCTAAAATCAGCACGCATATATTGGACTCTAAACCAATAGAATACGATAAGATAAGACCTAATTAGTGGTAAACAAAGGATGTAATAAGTCCAAACAGGATGCGATAAGAGCGGAAGAGATAAGATAAGTCCTAATTATTGCAAACTTTAATATAAATAACCGCCCCAATCGGTTTTACAATAATTAGGCTTTATCATAAGACTTGACTCTTAGACTTTATCACAAGCTTTGTTTATCACTAATGAGGTCTTTCTGTTGGTCTGGAGTCGGCGTATCGATTCTAGAGCAGGCAGACTTGACCTTCACCACTTCCTGGTCCAAAACCAATGCTGTATACCATTCTAACCTCTCACCATAAGCAACCAATGGAGTTCTTTGACACACCAGTAAATAATTATGTTTTAATATTAGTTATTTTTTTGTTTAGGTTTAAAACAGCTTTACTATGTTTTATTCTCAATTAAAATTTGTCGATCTGAATACTAAATTTATCGAATATCAATAATGACAAGCTTTTAGCAAAATCCACACCTATACTCTGATTGCTACAAATCTCATGTTCCAAAACTGGATAATAACTTTTCATTCATTCAGTCAGACATTTTCATAAATGAAAAATATTTAATATTTCTTTTGAATTGTTGCAGACCTATAAGTATTGTTCTATAAATATTTCCTTATGGGATTTCAGCTTTTATAAAATAAACCGTTTGTAATAAATATCTACAAAATCTAATAACTATAAAGCTATAAAATAAATTCTTTATTTGACATTTCGGTTTCCCGGTCGGAAGCCAAAAACAATAAATAGCTAATTTAATTGAATATTTTGAAGACATTCGTGACAATGGTGGTCCATTATTTAAAGTACAAGCCGTTAGAGTGGTGCTGTATAATTTTATTGTTATTTGAATACATTCAGAAACTCATTTAAATTTATTTTGTAAAATCGCAATTTAACGGTATTTCTAATATTACGTCCAATAAAAATAATACTATACTTGTTTGCTATTATTTCATGTGAAATATCATGTGTATGTAAGGCAGTACATACTGCCCAATATATGAAACCGAACTATAGTCTTTTAACAACAGCATAATTCACAAACACGAGAATGAGTGTGCCGTGAAACTTAGAATGCTTAAAAATGAAGCTGGACTGAATAGATACGAAGGATAAAAGACAACCAATGGACAAAACAAATTTTTGAATCGTGACCAAAAGCACAGAAGAGAATCAAAGGCAAAGTTCATATCAGATGGACATATGACATCAAACGAGTTTGATGGTCAAAAATGGATTAAGAAAACAACCAATGTTATGGGCAATGACGAATGGATGGAATGATGATAGTTGTTATTGATAATGATGATGACTTATTGACTCTTTTGATGACAGTTTAGAAACTTAGAAACAAGAAACAGTTATATTCAATGATATTTGTTTTAATTTATTGTATAGCATTATTTAGGAAAGCACTTTGTATTTTTTTTTGTCCACTTTTTACTTATTTATTTACGCCTTTCACTTCGCATTCTCTTTAAGGGATCAAGTAAGTATTAAAATTGTTTATATTTTCTGCCATGATTGCTGTATCGTCCGTAAATCTTATGTTAATAATTATGCTTTTTCCAATCCTTACACCTTCTGTTCTTTTCCATAGTGCCTCCTAAAATATTAATAGGGAA